ACGAGTTAGTGCCAAGTAAATTTGTCCGGACACTCGTTTTACTAACCTTTTCTCTATCTAATGCTGTTGGTTGTTTTTTCCCCGGTTTATTAATACCAGCAGCTCGACGATAACTTGTTCTGGATTTCCCGCAATTTGGTGATGCTTTTGGTTTTATTACATCTATCTTCATTTTTAATTTTTTCTGAACAGCAATAATATGATAGCAATAATTCTGTTTGTTGTGATTAGGACAAGTACAAGAAAAACGTGAAAATTTTTTTAAATCAACTACATATACTAAAGAAAGATCTCCTAGGGATTCAATCAGAAATGTACTTGATAAAATATAACAAAAATCAAAAAATATGCTTTTACATAAAACGTTCTATGAGTGTATCTAACATACCTGTTGAATCACTGAAGGACACTCGTTTATGAAGTAATAATAATTCGGCTTTTTCTTCGGACGAAATCGCTCTATCACGTTGAGTAGTGGTTGGAGCAGAAATTATTGATGAATCTACTTTCAATGCTGTTGTTTCATTATTCGATGATATTCTCGTACCACTATGAGATAATGATCTACACTGTCTATTTTGACACGATCCATGATTATCAATTTCAACCAATGATGATATATTTCTTTTATACATGGCATATTCGTGTTTTAATTTGAACGTCCCTGAAAACAACAGAAACTGCTATATTGTAATGAAAAAAAGCAATAATATTATTACCGATGCCAACCATGCCTCTATCAACTTTATTAATATAGAATGTTATTAGATCAATTAATGTTGTCATGACTCATGACTCTATCAATACTAATACATTTTCAATTCAATTCTTGCTTATAAACGTAATTCATTCCTTCTATACAATTACTAGTAACGTTTTCAGGAAACAAATCACGTAAATCCAAAGAATTTATTTCCCAGATGCCTATAATATTAAGATATTATTAAAAGAAAGAGTGAAGACACGGAATTCAATGGTTAATGTGTCAGGAAAATAGCGTTGATTTTTGTTTCCTTCTTCTGGCGAATAAAGAACTAAATAAATTTTCAAAAATACGACTGAAGTCTCACAAAAAAATTCTAAACTTTACCTTGAACAGGTGATAGAATCCTGAGAAACTTGGTTGTAGTATCGGAAATTTGGTAAGGGTTTTTTAAAAATTTTTTGAACTAAAAAGGACGGGTAGACTCTCACAGATAACTGGACGAAGTTACATAAATTTAACTGAGCAGATGTTAAATATTCTTATCGAGTAAAAGTTGATTTAATTCTCAACAAACTAATATTTAATAAATTTATTCCCTGGACTATAGGAAAGGTCGTAAAACTTCTAAATTGTTAACAAGACTTCGCTTGAAAAAATGTGACAATGGCAACCAGCTATAAGATTTTACCGGGTTTAAAATTTTGATTTTTTTGTGAATAACAAAAATCGATAATATTTGCATAATAATGTCGCGCTTCAATTCGATTTTGTACTCTACAGTGTGAAATAAAATTTTTGTGAGCTTGATATTAACTAAGTATATTTGCACACAGATCGTTCTTGATCATATACATCGTCGATGTTATACGTGTGTGTTTATAATCTATTAATTTACACTTGTTTGCTTTGTTCCTTTCGTTGTTTGCTAGTACGTTTGAAATTTTATTAACACTGTTAGTCAGGAAGAATAAAACATTATTATATGAAATTACAATTTCTCTCATGAATTATATGTTGTGGATTTATACTTATGCGTATTAAATGCGATTTCAAGTACTAGCTATTGAATTTTAGCGCAAGATATTGTTTGTCACTATTGCAATTAGTTCATCATTAATTTCAATTGATTACATTGATGATTATGTATATATACCCCACTGAACGAAAGATGTTATGTTCAATATCCTGTATTGGTACGATGTATATTCAATTCAATATATAATTACGGAATTTGAATGGGCATAGCATCACTGATTTAAAGTCATATTTTAATTCTTACAGAACAGGAGAATATATTTTCACTGTACTCTATTACTATAACTTGTATAGATGATATAATTGTGTATCTACTGACTCTGTTAGTTTCTGTGAATATATATACTTACTTTTAGCAGTTCTACTAACTTTATACATAAACATAATTCTTTTCGTTTAGAGAAGGTTGAGTAAGAAAACAAAACATCTCCGTTTACATTATCTATAGTCATAGATGTGCAAATGCATTCCAAGAAACTTCTTATCAATTCTACTCTATATATATCATTGGTGGTGTTCATTCCCAAGGTAACTTATGTCCAACCTCTCCTTATTGAAAAAGAGCTCATTTATGGCTTTATGATCTGATTCTGGTAAAGTTAGGAAGCCTCTTATGTCTACGTTGTATGTATACCGCTCATTATTTTTCCGTTCTTATCCATATTATAGTCAAGGTATAGAGAGTGATGCACAAAGTGCCTCATGTTATGTTGTTAAATAGAAATCAATTTTTTGCTTATAAAAAGAAGTCTAAGCTTGAGAACTAAATAGTTGAAACACCAGAAAAATATTTAACTTCTGTTTGCTTTCATTGCGAAAATTTAGAGATATGTAATGTTTTACTGAATATACTTATATACAATGATATCAGATATTTTTCTTTTCGTCGATCTAAGCAGGATGTGAGAATTTTGGTCGTTAAAATGAGTTTTCTTCCTAACAATACTTACCAAATTGTTTAATTCTTTTTTCAATACTTCGATCAAAATATTTGATGAACAATGCATCCCATTCTTTCTTTTTGCCTATCAAATTCATTTGATATATTTCTAATGAATCACTTAATAATAGTGATTGAATATCTTTAATGTATCTCGCTGCTCGACTTCTTATTTTTTCTCTATGTTGAGTATTTGTTGAAATAATGTTATTATCAACAAAACAATCTTCTTCTTCATTTTCAGAACTGTCTGAATTCTCCTCCAATTGCCTGTCAGTTAGTTCATGTTCATCAATTGTTAATATATTCTCATTTGCTGCTACATTCAACAATAACTGCTGTTCATTCAAGGAATCAGTATCATGTTGATGTTGATATTGATCTTCATTCTTCTTATTCTTATTCTGTTTATACAACCATCGACGAATATTTCCTTTTATTTTTCCAGCACTCAGATAATCTTAAACTTGGAAAATATTTTGAAAACGAATTTCTGAAGGCAGTTTCATCATCGGTAACAACTATACAATGTTTTTCAATCTCTGGGGCCATTTTTTAGGATTCGAGCAAATTCATCATGACACGATTCGTGCTTAGTCTCATGTATTATAAAGCCAAGTAGTACGGCTGGAGAACGCATAAATACATCATTTTTGTAGACGAGCGTTGACACGTATGCGCCGGTGAGATCAAATGTTGTATCGTATGACAATACGGTGAATCTTTGAACTATTTTAAGCATATCAACAAAATTTGCTAAGACTTTATCGTTAATACAAACTATAATTAATCTAGGTGCGAGATGAAGAAGCTTGATACTTGTTGGATTATTTAAAAATAATTCGTAAGCATTAAACAACTCACCATGAGTAATACAGGATGAATTAATTATTGCTTTTCTTCTGTCAGCTATTTGTTTTCTGTTACGAATTACTGCTTTTAAACTGTCATCTTTAATCAGTTGACGATAGACTACTGCGGCTGGAGTTCTTTGAGCTAACTCATCGATTGTATTGAGCACGGATCTTGGGGTCGACACTTTTTGTATTCCAATTTGTTAATTTCCTACACAAATAAATATGGTTAAATCAGTAATTTTTAATTTTATACTTATCAATATAATGTACGACGACGTTTAATCCATTATTCAAATCAACATAAACTTTTTTCGAAATTGATCATCTTTATCCGATTGTGGTGGATTTAATGAGGAAATACGACCATTAAAATAAGATTTTTTGTAGATTGCTGTTTTTTTTTCTAGAGACAATACCGGTTCCTTCTGAACTCTAGCGATAGCCATCACTTCTCCAGTCATCTGAAAATGCAAAAGTAACCGTTAAAAGGAAACATCAACAATATATGAATAAATTACTTTTTGTTTCGTTTGTTAACAGCAGACGATAAATATTACCGCCTTTGATAACTGACGGTAATTTTGATAAAGTTTCATTTTGTTCAAAGATTATACATAAATCATTTTTATTGAGATTATTAACTTTCGAATCCATTTACTTTGAAAACTAAGTACAACTACTACTGATGATCATTAATTACTGAAATTTACCATATTTATTAAAAAAGATTTCTTGGTATACTCCTGTTAGCTTTTTTCATACAAAAAATGACACGTACTTCTGAATCTTTTTAAAATATGTTAACTTACTGCTGGTTAATTTGTCTAAAAAGGAAAAGGTATACATAATTCTGGAAACTGTATAACTGTTATAACTGTGTAATTGTGAAAATCGTAAATGCTCATAACTGTTGGCAAATATTCCAGGGTGAATAGTTTTGTACGATTTGCATACATTATAAAAATGTCTCTGTCCTTAAAATGTGTGCAAATTGTAGAAGACTAACCCGGTCTAGAATATTTGCCTACAGTCATGAGCAGTTACAGTTTTCACAGTTACAGCTATCAGCAGTTTTACAGTTTTACAAGTACAGTTAACTGGTAAAAAACTGTAACTGGTGCATACCTAGATCCAAGTTAATGTCGCGGATTAGTTTAATTTCATATTATAGTTTATTATAATTTTATTAATAGCCTAGAAAAACTTCTTGTACTCAAGATCTTAGATTAAGAAATGTCACAAGATCTTGGAAAAAACACCAAGAAGTCAAGACCTTAGATTCTTGAATCTTTCACTCAAGATCTTAGTCACAGAAACTTCAAGATCTTCAGTGAATCCACTCAAGATGGTGCAAGAGTCTGAGTAACAAATTTTCTTTACATTTTGTTTTTAATTATGGCAGTCATAGCCATCGGATATACGACCATATAGAATCATAGGCTCTTTCTTAAACCACTATGCTTAAGAAGGAAAAAAATTCGAAGTTATTCTAATTGTGAATATATTCGCAGTTATATTCACTCAAGAGCGTAAAACAAAACGATGATTCAAGAATTTTCAAGATCTTGACTTCTTGAAATTTTTGAATTCTTGTATTTTCTTACCAAACTCTTGAATCAAAATCTTACTGAAAAAATTCAAGAAGTCAAGATCTTGGTTACAAGAAGTTCCACCAGGGTAGTTTTTTAAAAGTATTTTTGACAACGAATTATCATGATGAAAAAAAGTAGAAAGATGATATCTCGTTCGTCTGTCTTAGTAACTATAACTATTTAGCAGCTAAAAAGAGAACTCAACATTGGTTACCTATTAAAAATCTGTCTAGAAACAGCCAGTAAACCGACTTTCCATACTCAGGCCTCTCATGAAAATTCGACTAACAGGAACACGGTTTATTGACTGTTTTAGGCGGCTGTAAATCACCTGTTTCGGGCAGCAAAAGCACACAATCAAAGAAACAGTCTAAACGGCCAGTAAACTGGCTATCAATTGACACTTAACCGGCAATTAACTGGTCGATTTTTAAACTCCCGGAAAGAGTTATATAATTTTTAGAAAATTTATGTCAAATAATAAAACTGTTCATTTTATTTATTTGAAGTAGGCAAGGGACCTAGTAAATCGAAGATTTCTTTTAGAAAACGTAACTCAGACAAACGGACAAATAAAGCTAGTGCCATGGCTGGTACTGGAGTTGTGACACTCACCCTTCGGACAAGCGCTTTTCTGACTATAATACTTTATAAAACATAAGAAAAAAGCTGTTTTCTACTGAAAATAGAAGAACGATCGCAGGAAAGATCAATGAACTCTCAAATTCGGTAGATGTCACAAGTGCAGTTTGGAAAAGTGCTAGGCATCTACTGAAGACTTAGTTACTGGTGGTGGAAAATTTTCTATTGGATGTACGTTTCACCAGTTGCTCGCAATCAGCAGTGAACTTGGTTTTTACTGTTTTATTTATCAAAGTAGTATTGAAAATTATTTACAAGTAACGCTCATCTCCGATTCGCAGAACCCTTACTGGAAGGATACCTCTTTACAGGCATCTTTGCCCAATTCTAAGCAGGACTTAAACTTTAAGACCAAGATAAGATACAATGAATAATCATGGTAGACTGTCATTGTTGTATCCTATTATGTTGATAATCAGGACAGATGGACCCGCAAAGGAAAGTAAAGAGTAAAGTTTGCATTGGTCAAACGTTTAATTGAAAATATAAACTTTTATCGGCAACTTTGCAATTTTTGAAAGGATATTTCGTGTTGAGAAGAAAGATCCAAAGATTTTTCAACATAGCGTTATAGCTAGGCCATAGAGATCGTCACTTGTCGCAAAAATGAATACTGGAAAGGAGTATGTACTAGGGCTGGCTGTTTACCATTACTGTTGCTAGAAACAAGTAACAATTTTGTTACTTGTTTTCTGAAAAGGGCTTTGTGAGGGTGAGGGTGAAATAATTCCACCCTTACCCTCACCAAACCCTTCGAAAAGCGCACCCGTCAAAGTGCGGTTAAGTTTTTAAAATATTATTGAGTCATTTTCCCTCGATGTTGTAATTTTAGCACAGGTTTTCCATTTCTTTTCAAATATAAATGTTATACAAGTGCTGATTTCAGAAGTTTCGAGTCGGGAACTCTATCTCTAGTTAGACCTTAACAAACAGTTGGTGATCGTCGATCAGCCGCTTGCGCTGGCTTCTTTCGTCAGGCGCTATAGCAAAGGTTTAGTTTATTTTATTGAAGCTTATATGTTGCTTAAGACTTTTGTATTCGAAAGTTGATGATGAACTGATTTACGGAATTCAGAAAACAAACCCATTTGTCTAACCATCAGACAAACAGAAAGCAGCTATTGTGTCTGTATGTTATGAATTTTAGCAAGAACTAGGTCAATAAGATCAGTCATGATGGCGAAACTACGTTGTGCAGACGAGAAGAAGAAAACAAAATGGAAATTTCAGAAAGCAAAGTGGTTCGCAAAGTGGTTTTCTTCATTTTAAAAATGGAAAACAGAGTGGAATTCATTTTTACAAAGTGGAAGACCACTTTGCTCTCACAGGGACCACCGATCATCAGAAACACTGCTTGGAGCTACTATTTAAAACCAAACAGGAAACAACCATTTAATTCGCATGAGTTTGTATTGCATTTTATTCTTAATTGATCTCTCGCTTTGCGATTATTCATTTTTTCTTCTATAGAGATAGCAAAAGTGGAAAATTTTAGTATAGTTCTGTTTTACTGGCACGGTCTCTCCTGGAACTTTCAACTTTGTTCGAGGTTTTGTTTAGATCTGGTGTTCGGATCCGGCACCGGATTTTGTTTGCATAAATTGAGCGATCTGGCTTTTTTTTCTCGTTTAGGAGGATCCATGTAAACATTATTTATTACGAATGAAAATCAAAACTTAATTCAGTTAACAAAGTGCGTCGTCCTTTGTCTTTCGCTTATTAGATACTTTCTTAAATAGAGTCCTGTAGGTTACGACTTTTTGACAACCTATAACCTAATCTATAAAAATTTTCACAATCTAAACCTAACCTACGAAACGCGTAACCTAAACCTAACCTACGAAACGCGTAACCTAAACCTAACCTAGGTTAACCTAATATAACCTTTTGCAATTTCTTCCCAAAATCTGGTTTCGGAAGCCTAAACTTAGCCTAACTGTATGATACCAGTAAAAACGGATTTTTTCAACAAAGGAAAGAAAAGGAAAAAAAAGGATGCGGAGTTTTGTAGCTGATGGTATGTTGAGTTGAATGTTATGTCAGTCGTCACTGACATTCCTTCCTCTTCCTCTTTTCCATTTCTCATTATCACAAAGAATGTTGACTCAGTTCTGGTTGAGTCAACATTCTTTCTTCATCTGTTCCATTTCTCATTATCACAAAGAATGTTGACTCAGTTCTGGTTGAGTCAACATTCTTTCTTCATCTGTTTCATTTCTCATGACCACAAAGAATGTTGACTCAGATCTTCTTGAGTCAACATTCTTTCTTCATCTATATAGAGTGTTTGTTACTACACACCGAGGCAGTTTTTTGTTTTGACGTTTTGTGTAATTTTATTCTTTCGAATAAAATCTGTGGAGGCTAGCATTGAATGAGATAAAACATTTGACTTCATCGCTTATGTAAAAAAACTTGATAGGTTTACAAAAACGACTTATGCGCATTGCACTCGGTGTGATTTGAAGTGCCACTGTGAAAAGATGTTGCGGTCTTAAGCCAATTTAACAACTCGTCTAGGCTCAGTTTTTGATGCTGAATCTGAAAAAAATATTTTCAGAAACTCAGAGAAAGCACGAACCGAAATATAAGGCGTATTTTGAAAAATACGACATACTTCGATTTTTTCGTATTTTCCGACCTGAAAAAGATATTTGTGTAAGGTAAAAAGTTGTTTTTCGTGATCAGCAACTCTCACTCTATCAAATGATGTAAAAAAACGGCAAAAAAAATTTTTACTTGAATTTCGCATTGCCGGCACCTTAACATTCGTCCCTTATAACCTATATCTGAAACATTATTGACAATCATGTCGATGAAAAAACCAAGCATTGAGGCCAAAAAAAGAGTACAAGAAAGACAACGATTAGCATGGATTTCCTCGCAAATTCTAAGGATAAAATCGTGTGTGTTCGATTTTGCGATGGTGTGACGAGCAGTCTCGATGACTGTGAACGCTCGTGAAATACACGACGTTATGGCTATATTGATAGGTGATTGTTTAATTGTATTTATGGAAGATGTTTTAAATGAATCAACAGCTGATGATGAAAACTTTATGAACTATTCGACAACATCGGCATACATGAAAAGTTTTCCCAACAATTTGCAGGAAAGATTGGCGAAGCATGATACCGACGTTACTGAATATACAAAAAATGCAAAAAGAAATTATTCTATCTCAGACAAAACTCGTACCAAAAAATATCTCGAAACAAGTAACAGTATCGAAAAGATCAGTTAAGACCATTTCTAGACAAGGACCCGTAACAAGATCACAAACTAGCAATATTCAGAGAGCTGTTGTAAAAATGGATCAAGAAGATCTAGAAGATTCTTTTAGTACGGTGGCAAATGTCAATACAACTAACACCGCTACAGAACCGCAGGCAAAATCAGCTATTGCCAAACACTATAAAAATACAGGACATGTAATGAAGAATTCCGATTTTCGAATTATACTCTCAGAACAACATAAATATCGATTACTAGTTAAAGAATCACTCTTAATTAGATCGGAAGCGCCAGTTCTAAATGGAACAGATCGATCAGTTCCTCTTTATGTTTTTCCAGACGGTGTAGAGAAAAAGAAAACAATTGGAGACGGAAGATTCATACCACCAAAAAAAGTCAGTTATAAAAGAATAAAATAAAAAATGTATACACATCACTGCATAGATAATAGGTCATCGGTTTTTTATACATGCGCATATATAAAGTTAATATCGGTCTAGTTTTGAATTTTCCCTTTTTCGTTCTATTGTATCTCGTAGTAAGAATAGAGAAAGATAGTAGTTGTTTTCATCATTTGTACAGTTATTCTGTTTATGTTTTTGAAAATGACCGGTTAAAGGTCGAAATATCACAAATAAAGGTATGAAGTTCAAAACAGCTGCAAATATTATCATATTTTTTAGTATAAGTAAAATGTGATGATTTTTTTTGACTTTTTTCTCTTGGACTTGTAATCCTTTAGACGCATAGAATTTTATGTCCCTTTGTTTTTAGAATACTTTATCTCAGGTTCTTGCTTTCTTTGTTTTTGCTCCAAGAAGTTCGGTTCGTCGTATGTTGTTTCTGTAGCTCTTATATAAGTGTCAATATTCGTTTATTTCTTTATTTATGCTTTGTTTTTCAGGAGTAATGAAATCAATTGAAAATCAGCTTATAGATTCATCACCAACATCAGTGTATTCATCTTTGATCAAAATTGGAAAAGAAAATAGTTTGCAGACTAAATCGGTAAGCTATCTTGCTGCCCAGTATTATTTACAAGGTCTAGAATGATAAATGCCTGCCTCTTTAAGTCAATTAAGATCATTCGACCTGTTCAGTCGACAGCGGTAAAAATTCCCGTTCTGGTGTATGATCGTAAACGTAAGGTTTACCCACAGTTTTAAAACCAATAAGCATGTCACTGGATATTTTCCTTTTTAGGTACAGATGCCACTTCAAATGTTAAACCACTGGTATCTATGCAGAAATGTTCTGCATCAAAACAACCATGTATTCAAATACTGGTCTCACCATTAAGACAGAAGCCTCTTCCCAGCATTTCGATAGCATCAAGTAAACGAACAATAGGTAACTTCCTTGAAAAGTCTGTGGCTCTACACATTTGTATTGAGCAACTTTACTTATTTGTCTTTCGCAGTTGAGATAAATCCAGATTTGTGGAAACCCATCACGACTAGTGGAAATCCATCTCCAAAGGAAGATATGCAATTGTTGATGAAAACGCCTGCACAACTTTTGACTAGTGTAAAAGCTCATGAAGCTTCATGTGAAGAAGGTAGGCAGCACTGTTATCAAGTTTTGATACTTTCGTGCAGTCTGAATGTTTCTTAGGTGGTTTTGAGTATGAAAAGGCAAATCTGACAGTAGTAAAACTATCAAAAACTTCAGTTGTTGGTTCGAAAATGAAATCAATGAAGGTATGAAATATCCAGGAAACCCGCCATTGTCTTCTGATATATCTTGGTTGTAATTTTAGGTGACTTGACCAAAAATCTTCCGAAACTTGCTGTCTCATCTAAACGATCCACTTCTACGATATCAGCACCTGTAGAAAAAGAAAAAAAAAATCATATAGATATCAAATCGGTAAGTGAACGACTTATTTCTCATATTCATCGCTCATACCTTTAAATTATTTGGTTGAATTTAGTCCATCACGTTTGCTAGTAATGAAGAAGACAAAGTTAAAACAACAGCTGTAACCATTCCGAAAATAAGGTCGAATATTCCACGTAAGCGTACCTTTATTTTATTTCGTGTGTTTCCTCACAATTTGGATGACAAAGTAATCTTTTCATATACCGTCTTCCTCTTCGGATAAGAACCTGCCTCTAACCTGTTGTGCCCTTTTCAGTTTCGCTTAAAAGCCTGTTTCAAATGTCATTATCGATTATTTATTTCCTTATGATTTTAGCGCAAACTTCACCGTCATTAGCTACATCAACAAATCATTTACAACAAGTTAAATTTAATTATCATTCAAATACCGTACCAGAAAGAATACGAACAATAGTTCTACCCACATTGCCTTCGAGTCTGGTGTGTTGTGTTTTTTCTCCTTGATGTTTTACTCCAAATTTCTGTAAGTTTTCCAGATCCAGTTAGCACCTTCAATACCGATTAAACGACCTAATTTTAACAATCTATTACCAATCATTCCTCGCCCACAACTATTATCAACAATCATCGGTCCTTTAGTACAAGCTACTCACCAGCAACCACATGGGAAAATGACGAGCACTCAGATTCCTATACAAGTAGGATTTGCGCGTTAGTAGAAGTGAGAAATACAAAGAAAAGATGCGCAGATTTTTTTGGTTATCTTAACACATAATTAACCAGCCACGCGTTTTAACAGACGTGCATCGCTCTGGAACACAAAAGCAATCTGACTTTGAAGTGCATCCATAAATGAGAATCACACACGATTCTAAAAAATTTCATAGAGCCGGTCACTAAAATTAGCCGCTCTGCAGTTATATAAAAGGAGAAATTGTGGTCTTCTTTTTCAGACAAAGTCAAAATTACAAATTACAAACTTACCAAAAGCGGGTATTCCTGTTCGCACATCAAAGAATCTATCTCGGAAAAGAACACGTAGAATGACGAATTTAAAATAGATTCTTAGTACCAGTGAGTAGTTTTGCATGGTTTTTTAGACTCAAGTGCATCAACTTTCTTACCTATATATACAAGAAAGATAGAAGAGTTTTTCTTACTAAAAGCTTTCCCGGCCAAATAAATAGAAATCTGTTTCTATTGTTGTGTGTTTGCTTTTCTTGGTTTCGATTTAAAAGAATTCCACTTGTTCGCGGCCGTCCGCTTCCGATTAGAAGTGTTCTTTTCTTACCTTTGGTGTTTTTCATTGTTCAGTCTTTAATCTATTATAGATGCAGATGAATCTTTGGAATTTGAGTCCAGTCCGAAAAAGTCAAAGTCGTCAACAACTTTTGATACACTGCCGGAAGCAAATCGTTCATCTAAACGAAGTATGTATCAATGACTGCAAGGAATAAGAATACAATAAAAATGTCTTTCTTTTAGCCACTGGAATATTATACGAATCAGCACCCATCGTTCGTTCAAGAGGTTAGTTTTTGTTTGCTAGAGTTCAAGGAATAAGTTAAAGTTTGTTTTAGATGAAACAAGATTATCCCTTAGTTTAACAGAATGGGAGGAAGGATTGAATCTTTCCACTTTAGATAATCGTTTACAACGAAGTGGCCTCGATAATAAAACCGAAGTAAGAGTCTTTATGTTCGGCTATGCAATGTCTACCGTGTCTCTTTTTAATCCACTTAACAGGGACACTCTTCAACTCATAAAACAGCAAAATCAGTTTATGACTCTGTACCAGTGGATGCAATTGGAGAACATGAAAAAACTATCAATGCGATTTTGCATGACAGTAGTAAGTATTTTTGTTTTTGACCCGTCGCTTTTAAACGTCGGGTTCTACAAATGATATTCAGTTTTTTTTAGCTGTGCCCACATATAATTTTGAACAGCTAATGAATGATTTACATGATGTATCCGAAGAGAAACTACCAGCAGCAATTAATCTGAATGACGATCAGGTAGAGCGATAGAACCGAGCTCGCATGCAACAGGACCATTATTCTCGGTCTCGAACAGTATTGGATAGTATCGAACTGTTTTCTTTTCTTGTTATTCTTTGATATATGAAGGTAAAAGTTAAATTTTAAAAGAATGCCATACAGTGGCGGTCAAAGCTACTTATCTTCCTTAGCGCTTGAAATTTCTTTTTACTCTATCATGTCCACTACTTGGTCTTGTCAGACCGAGCGCTGGTCTGTAGTCAAATGCCTTAATATGGGTTAGAATTACATAACATACTTTTGAAATTTAAGTTTTACCTTCATATATCAGTGAGTAACAAGAAAAATAAAACAGTCCAATACAATAGGCGTGTACCATGAGAAAACTGTCTTTGAAACGCCCGATCGTATTGAGCTGTCGTTTGGTTTATAAGCGTTTCTCGATGTGCTCTTTCATTTGTTAAGCGGAAAGCTTTGCCCAAAATGCTTCAAAGTGGGGTTTCTAGAAAATCCTGGTTTTGAGCTACCTGAGCCAAGTAAAAAGCGTAACAGTTACAGGTTTACAGTTAACTGTAACTGGTGCATGTCTACGTGGATCATTTAGATGCCAAACAAACTAAAAGCTATCGTACAAAAACCTAAAAGCTAATAGTTTTGTTAAGCTGATTTCTCAACGAAATCTCAAGGAAAGTCGACATAAATTTCAGAATATGTACAACTTGAAATGATCTTTCGAATGTACTATAAATGGGGATTTCAACTTGAATTCTGAGTTTTCCAACGGAACTCAAATCTTACACTAAAATAATTTTTTCTTTCTCCAGTGCAAGTACGTTCGAGAAAAATAAGTTTAAAATATACAGTTTAAGGTGTCGGCAGCGTCAATTAGCGAGAAGCCTTCCTCTTCGCTTTCAACGCATTTTGTAAACGTGAAATGTTGAGATTAGTTTTATTTTGTCCAATTAAATGCTTATTGAAAACAAATGTTTTAGTCGGCTAGAGAGACATTCTACATATGATAAAGCAGTGATAATATGCAAATGACTATTTTACTTGGCTTATAGTTCATTTTTTTCACATAAGTGAACATATAATGGATAGATTGGTCTCACTGATTGTAGCAATAGGTGCATATTTTTTTAGTTCTTTAATGAAGCGAAGGTAACCGCTTATTGGTAAGGTTTTCTTGTGTAATTCTAATAACTCAGATTTCAACGACTGATACATTGAATCCGTATTTGTCAGACACATCTTGTACAATTTATACAATGTTTGTCCATCCATATCTTGACATAACGGCAGCATAACATCCAATTTTGTATCACAAAGAAATTCTTGAACATTTTCTTCTGTCCACAATTCAATATAAATCTTCGAATAAGTATAGTCCGATTTCGATCTTGATAAAATGGCAGGTTGTTCGACTGCTACTAAATTCTGACTGCTGCAATGAGAATCACAAAATTTCACCTCAAATGTCGGCAAATGTAGAGTGAGCTTCTGGCATGTGGCTTACAACTTTCTTGATTTCATCTGCATAACTTAGAATTTCAATTTATTCGATGCACAACCTCTGCACACAGAAGAAATTACTTGTTACACGATAGATCGGCTTAAAATCATTTTCTTTACGCTTAATAGAATCAACTATTTATCAGTAAAAATTCTATATCTCGAATAGGAGTCAAGATTTAAGATTGACACTGCCAGGCTATTGTTAACTCCTGTAATGTAAAATACTGACAATCATACGCAGAATTCAAGTTTTTAGACTTTTGTTTAGCTGGTCAAGTGTATGTTTAGTGCAATATCCATAAGAGTGTCGACATATACAAACAGAGAAAGGGAATTATCCTTTTATTCGCTTTCTGTCTAGATAGCTATTAATAACAATACTCACGATGAAGTTTCCACGTCACTCTTTGTTGTTGGTGCGTCATGATATTGCGATTTTTGCTGTTGTTCTGTTTTGTTTTCAGGCGGAAAATTACGGCCTTCGATGCGATCTTGTTTGTTTGGCGGTCCGTTTATGCTCCTACTTCGATGTTGCAGAATTTCTGATTTCAATCTTTCATAGGCATTATCGAAGGTCATCTTTGGAAAATCAATGTAGAGTCGTCCACTAACAATGAAACCCAACCATCCATCGGGCTTGTATTTCTCTTTCATGATTAACGGAATAATTTGACAATGGGCAAGACCTAAAAAGTATAACAGTTTATCTCTAGGGTTAAATAATTTTTACATGACCAAGCGGGCCCCCTTACAAACGTTTTCTTCCAATCTTTTATGTCACTTTTGTACAGAATTGTCATGGCTACACGATCAGGTAGAGTAATCGAGACGTTTTGTTAAATGCCCAAAATTTCACTTTTTACAAAAATTCAAAACATTTATAATGGAATTTTTTTGACTTCAAAACTTCTATTTTGGGGACCTGAAAGATTTTGATAAATTTTTAAATGAAATCTAGTTTTAGAACTTTCAATAAAATATGAGGTCAAAGCGTTTTAAATACGAAATATAGTACTTTTTTTTGAAAATTCGTTTCTCAGTGAAGAAGCGATTTCAGAAGCTAAAAAGATTTTTGACACCAGTTTTGTCGGGCGAATCGACTGAGCAAATAAAAGATTGTACTTTTTAAAACATGTTATGAT